GCGACTGCTGGTAAGTGGAGCTTTCTGGGGAAGAGACGGTGGCTCGGATCCCAGATCTGGCCCGTCCAGACGCCGTGCCAGGTGGCCACCCCTGCAGAGAAGGACAGCAGCTCACTGAGCAGCGTCTCAATGAGCCTGGGCACACCTGCCCTGGGCTAGCACACTTCCTGCTGCATGATTTTCTTGGTTTCAATTAAGGCAACTCACAGCAGTACATGAAAATGCTGGATTGGCTTTAGTATCTGGAAAGTCCCTAGCCTTATCTCCAGCATGATGGGATTCCTAGGGCATCCAGAAGAAACTGGCCTCCCAGCTCTCCTCCGCAACCAGGGGTTCTCTCCCAGGGCGCTCAGGGAGTGGCAAAATAGCCTCTAGGCTTCAAGTCTACTGCCGGTCATCCTAGCAACCGCAAAAAATCCTCATTGGTCTGGCTTGTGTCAAGAGCCTACCGCTGAGCCAATCAGGTGGCCAGGAATGTGGTGCTCTGATTGGCCGGGTCTCCCCCTATAAAAATGGTGAGAAAGGCGGTATCCAAGGGCCTTTAATTTCACGAGGGGGGAGGGGGTGAACCACCAACAGCATTAGCCGGAGGCCAATTCCTAAGAGGCACAGATCAGAGGTACCTCCACCTTCCAGCATTTTCCCCAATTCTAACACCAACTGCCCCTCTACTGGTTTCGATAATCCACCGCAATGATCTCACAGAACTAACAGACAATACTCACAAGTGTGGAGTTTATTAGGGATGTTAACGGCACCACCAGGGCTCCTCCACCTTACAGACCAGTCTGCACTGAGCTGCTAACCACGAGGTCAGTAGGTGGGACCAATTAGCTGATTTGCAGACAAAGATGAGGCTGCTGAGTTCTTGCTTTGCTGTTTGGTTGGTGGCTCTTCCTTCTTGATGCTAACAAGAACCCTTCTCAACTTCGGAGATGGCCCATTGACCAATTCCCAGGCTAGAGTTCCATAACCCTCATTTGCATGGTCCCCATGCAAGATGCTATGAACCTTATTTACATTATTAGCAAACTATCCAGTCCTCAAGGTGGGCCACAAGCACCTCATATTTGTATAGCCCGACTCAAGTCATAGAGGACCCCCAGTGGTACTGCTGTTGGGTCAGTATTAGACTGCTGACTACAAGGTTGGTGGTTCAAACCCACCAGCCACTCCTCAGGAGAAAGGCCAGGCTTTCTATTCCTGTAGAGATATACAGCTTCAGAAACCCAATATCGGGTCACGATGAATCAGACTCAACTTAATGGAAGTGGGTGGGACCCAGTCATATGGTTGCTACGAATGTTAACAGCATCTAACACCACCATGTGGGCATTTGATGGGAGTTACAAGGACGATGGCTAGATGGGCCTGTCAAGTCATTCCTTGCACTGCACACACCCTACGTGGTGACTTAGAGCACACAGGGCCATGTTTCTAGGAAAATGCAGGCCACTGATCAAAGGGTCTTCTCTTTAAAGTAATGAAAATCAAAGATGTCACTTTTGAGGACGGAAGTATGCCTGATCTCTGCCAAGGTATTTTCAATGATGTCCTATGCGTGTGAAGGTTGGACATCGAAGAAGGAAGACTGAAGAAGAATGGATGTATTTGAATTGTGGTGCAGGAGAAGAGTGTTCAAAGTACTCTGACTGCCAAAAGGACAAACTAATCTGTTCTGTCTTGGAAAAAGTAAAACCAGAATGCTCCTTAGAAGCAAGGATGGGTAGACTTTGTCTCTTTTCCAGTCCCTGGGAAAGAACATCATGTGGAGAGACAGTGAAAAAGAGGAAGACGCTCAACAAGATGGATTGACACAGTGGCTGCAACAATCTCATCCACCACAATTGTGAGGATGGTACAGGACTGGACTATGTTTCCATCTAGTGTACATGTAGGGTCGCTCTGGGTTGGAAATGGCTTGATGGCCCCTAACAGGATCTCCTCTAACCAAGCTCCTGTCCTGTCCTACAGCTGTGCTTCTCCCCCAGAGACCCAAATGCGATTTAAACGAAAGCTGGGGGAATGGTGGTCAGACTCAACCCTCGCTAGCCCCTGGCTGAGGGGGTAGCTTGTTGATGCAACCTCCCTTCCCCACTTCATCTCCTCACACATCCAAGGTACTTTAAAACTCACTGACATTGAAGAGTTGTCTACTCACAGCGACCCTATGGGACAGGGCAGAACTGTAACTCTTCACAGGAGTAGAAAATCTCATCTTTCTCCTAGGAGCCACTGGTCGTTTTGAACTTCTGACAATGCAGTTAGCAGCCCAGTTTGTAAGCACTACACCAGCAAGCCTCCTCTATATACTTTAAGTGTCTTCAAATTACTCTCTGATCCTTGCAACCCGGAGCTTAGCAAGCAACCAACATTGCCAGCTGCAGTCACGGCTCTGTTCTCCACTTAAAGGCCAATTTTCATTTTCATTAGGGTTCTCTGATTGAGCACATGCTTCTGTCCACTGAAGGGTTCACTGGACTTAAACAGTGTAAACAGCTTTTAAGCCAGGGCTAGACAATCTATAGGTTTCCCCACTCCACCCCTCCCCTCTGCACATACACACAAGCCCTGAGGAGCCAGGAACATGGATTCTGGCCCTTGACTCATACCCTGGCCCTGCCAAGCATGCCCAAGTGGGTTCCCAGGGCTGAGGGATGACTGGAGCCAAGTTCCCCACCTTTCCCACACTGGCCTCTTCAGGGAGCTCTGGGCAGCCTCTGTGGTCAATAGAACCACCATCCCTTATGCAAGTCCTTTGAGAGACATCCATAATGGTGTTTATTTCAGATGTCTGTTTTTTTTACTATTGTATTCCATTGAACGAATCTACCCAAATTGAGCTTTTCTACTGCCTATGCACATGTCAGCTGGGATACTGAGCATCTACTCGAATTCCTTGCTGCTAAGACTGTAAATAATCATTAAGGAGAACTGTCTTGTCTATCATTGTTGTGACTGTCATTTGTTGAGCACTTTGCCATTTTATATGCCAGGCACTGTATGTACTAAGTGGCTCACCTGCATGCGCTCAATCCTCACAATGACACCAGGAAGAAGGCTGTTGCCATCTGTTAGCTACGACAGTCATAGTACCAACCTCCCAGGGCTACTGCAACGTTCCACTAAGATTACGCTTTCAGGAACTTGGTCAAATGATGCCATTTGGGAAGTGTTTCTGATACCTGTCAAGTCAGAATCAACCAAACGGCACACAATAGCAGCAACAATTGTTTTCTCTAACGTGTTCAGGAGCCTGAGGCCCATGTCTACCCAAGGCACTCAAGCATGTCATCTCAGCTGCCTTGGCCTCAGAGCTTCTGGAAGGTCATGACCAATGAGTAAGTCACTGGGAGAGGGGGAAAAAGGTAAGACGGAATCAGGAGGGACCCAAGAGCTCTTCCAGAAGCCGAGTGCAGATAGTACTTTCCGGTGACAGTTGTTCACTACCTGGCTCTCCCACTGAGGGGTAAACCCAAAGGTTTCAGTGGTGTGTCACGCACCCATTCCCCAGTTCAGTTAGCACCCTTACCTCTAGGCATTAGGCAACGAACTGGGGGCTACAGCCTAGACGGACACAGACAAGGTAGTGCAGGTGACATTACACAAGCAAATTACAGAGACTGCTGGGAAAGGCCTCAAAGGTCCACCTCCTGTTGGCAGAGGAGTGTTAATGTGAAGGCTGGAAAGCCTCTTGGAGGGATCAGCAACCCAAGTGACACAGCCCAGGGACAAAAGTTCTGAGGCCCTAAGGCCTAAGGTGAGCAATGGCAGAGGCTCCCAGTGCAGTCGTGAGGAGAGGGCGAAGAGAGGCATTGCAGACCAGGTTTATAGGTCCCTGGGGCTGAAATGCTTTTTGGTTCGATGTTCCCGGAAGGGGTCATGGGGGGAGGGGCGCTACTCCTGGAGGGTTATATGGAAGGCACTCGAATATTACTTGAGTAACTAAACGCACGGATAGATGGGTCAGAGACACGCAGCTAGGGCAAACACTGAAGACACTAGGGATCCAAGGTCCTCAGCCACAGCCTGGTGGCAGGACCTGCAACCACGCGCTATGACCTTGGGCACGTCCCCGCCCTGGACCCAGGGGCCGGAACCCTGCCTGCGTCTCGAGGGCGGGGAGGACGTGCCTGGAAGGACTGTGCGCGCGCGCGGCCGACCGAAGGATGGCGGGTCCTCCGGGGCTCTGTATCCGCTCACCCCGGTCTTTACACCGACACCGACACCGGCTCCGGCCCCGGCCGGGGCCCCAACTCCAGCTCCAGCCCGAGCCCTCGTTGCTCGCGCTGTTTACATACCACCCACGACGGCCACGCGGTTTTCAGCCACGCCGATACCGCGTGGCCCCGCCCCTGGCATGCCACTGCGCTCGCGCCAGACTTCTCCCGCGTCCAGCCCCGCACCGCCTCTGCGGCTCAGGCCCCGCCCGCCCGGCTCCGCCTCTCCACCGCGAGAGCAGCTCTCTCTCCCGCGTCCCGCCGGCCGGGGAGCCGCAGTCAGGCCCCGCCCACTCGCCCCGCGCCCAGTCCCCCAGGCGCGCAGGCCC